TTACAGGTAAATAATTGCTACTACCAATAATAGTTTGCCAAATCATGAATGCTCAGTGAAATGGGGTCTCTAAACTTCTCTGATTACATACTCTGACAAACCAAAAAAAAAAAAGTAGTATGGTCTTCTAATATATGTATACTTATTATACACATACTATTTCATTAATATGTCCTATACAGTACAAAACATACATAAAATAGGGATTAAGAAAATAAAAGATTACAAGCATTTAAAAACAGTTTTATATCTTAGTTGTACAGATCTTTTCACTCTCATAAAAATTGATTAATACTTTTAGTGGAGTGATGATAATGAAAATAAACAAAATTATATTTTTTCTTAGATATTGACTTAAATATTTTGCAATTCAATGACTGAAATGTCAGGTCCTAAGTTCTGCTTATTTCAGTACCTAATTGTAATAGCTACATAGGTGAGAAAGGGATAATAGCAAAAATGCAAGGACTGAAATTAAAGAAATCATTTGTTGTACTTACTAAATCACTATTTTCATTTTTCACTAACCTCCATCAGCTAGCAAAAGTTTGTGTCAAATTTTGGCTAATAAATATCTATCTTCCCTCATGTCAATCAATTGTTCTTGTAAACTAATCAAAGATACTGCATTTTTACATTTTTAACAATTGGTTTAAAAAGCAACTGAAACTCTTTATTTGGAAGATTTTCAACAGTATAGAAAATATTGTTACCAGTTTTTTAAAGCGTGCAGACAGCAAAGTTTTCACTAGACACATATTATCCCTGACAACAAAAATCAGATTATGAAAGAAACATTTCTAAGCAGTGACTTTAAAAACACTCTGTATTTTAATCTCTGTCTTTAAAAAGGCATTTACTTTCTCATTCGTTGTTAAAACATGGCCCTTACTTTGAAGGGATAGAGTAAGAGTGTTCCATTGGTTGGTTGGCTGGTTGGCTTTTAATCTGTGATGAAGCATATAACATAGCCACTTGTCATATAAAAAAGGTCAGCAAATTAGATATATCTTGTAATTTAAAAAATTCTTCACCCACCTTTAAATTCAACAACTCTTTTACAATCTTTGCTGTGAAATAACCAAAGAAGCTCCTGTGATTTAAATGAATTTCATGGTCACAGCCCATTTCACTACAGAGTACTACAGAAATTCTACACTTTACCAGTCAGGTTTCTATAAAAATTAACATTAATACCATCCTTAGGCACTCTTCACACATCTGACATCTAGATTAAAATTAAATTTCATTATTTTTTCAGGCTTACTTAGTGGGTTAAAACATTTCAACATTAATAATTTTTAGCTTCAGATAGTTTAGCTCTGAATTCTAGCAGCCAAACCACAAAATTTCAAGTTGTGTTCAGTTCCCAGGTTCAGCTCCAATGGTGGTTAGAAAGAGAGTACATGCCAAACCAGAATAGTCTAAGTTATTTGCTTCTTGGAAACTCAGAGTGAATACAACTTTCACACACAGAAGACATCAGTAAAATACAATTAGCTTCATATAGTTAGGGCCTGAGTTTCAACCTGCCTGAGAAATGTAAAAGAGCTGAAAGAAAATAAACAAAAGTGAAGATCACTCAAATATCAACAAGGAAGCAAATATTCATTGGTTAAAAGAGGAAAGAGAATTATTTCCAAGAAAATAAAATCTAATTGTACTAAAGTAAAAATGAAGTCTAGTCATTTTAATCTTAAATGAGAATGTAAGTAATTGAGATGAATGTGAAACCCAGACCTGTTAGGACCTAAAATCTGACCAAGTTAATTCTCCCCAGATTCAAGATGGGGCAACAGTTGGGGCAACCAGCCAAGCAAATACTTTGCAGAAGACAATTTAGGGACTGCCTGGTTCTGATCTGAGAAAAGAGAATGTGGAAACTTCACGTTTTTTTAACGACCACCCTTAAGCCCCCACCCAGCATCTAACTATTTGTCTCCATTTGCTCTACAATTATGTAGAAATATGATTAGGTCTTCAGACGTACAGAATTCATTTTAAAAATAACTAAGTCTCTAAATCCTAAAACAAAACAAAACAAAAAGAACAAAAAGCAAACAGTCTCAGAAAGGCCAGGTAGCACTGTGTCTTATGAAAGAAACCTTGATCTTAAATTATATCAACATGTGGAAGATTTTATATTTTGGATTCTCTCCACTACTCCTTCTTATTTCATATTAACAACTGCTGGTTTTGAAGTAAATGGGAAGGGAAGGAAAAAATAAGGGAGGGGAACAGAGCAGAAAAAAAAACAAGAGAACATGGAAATGACAAGTACCCCAAGTTTCACAGTTTAAAAAAATCAAAGTGTCAAGGGATACAGTCATTCATTTAACAATCATATAACATGTGCCATATGAAAGACTCTACAAAACCTTTATGGAGAAAGATATTTATTTCTAAATCAGTTAGTGAATGAAGAATTAGGAAGAGTGACCCAATCAACCACATATGCCAAACTCCTATATTAGGAGAGAGGCCTGATTATCTTGCCTTTTAAAACACTGGGTAGGATAAACAAATCATGTCAGCGGATTATATACTCAAGGAACACCAATTAGAAATCCCCTTCCAGTTTTCCTACTGCTTTATTGTACATGGAGCTGACCTGAGCCTGAATGTAACTTGAAGGAGACGAGACCCACCTTGACCGACCTGCAGACCTATGTGCAAGAAAAATGTTTGTTGCTGTTGTAAGCAGTGTAAGCAGCCCAAATTGACTAATAAAGCATTTATGTCTTACACCTCACTGTTTATGCATTTCTATTGCATGCCAGGCCCTTGTCTGAGTTTATAACCCCTGACTTATTTTCTCTCCTGTGATCCTGTAAGCCACATCTAACTCTGCCAATGAAAAAGAAAAAGAACTGCAATATTCAACTGTTCTAAGGAAAAATTAGGGAGCCAAAATAAGACTATGTCATCCTGCCTCTACCTTTTTGGGGACAGGATAGTCACTTCCAAAGCAAAAGTGCCTCACTCAAGGAGGACACCTTGTCTCCTTCAATCATGAACAAAGCATAGAAATGATTCTCAGAAAATACAAATAATGTAGAAATGGGCTACATTGTTTCTTATTATTTAGAGCAAGTATCTGGGTATAATGATCACTCTTACATGTTGTAAAGATTTGGCAGTGCTTCCAGGGTTTACTCTTCCAGAG